AGGAAATACAATTTTCTTTTCTTTTTTTTCTTTTTTTTTAAATTACCGATTAAGCTATTGCAGATAGTCCACATCAAAACCTGAAGTTGGTTAAAGATAATGTAGGGCAGAGCTCTTGATCTACGGGCCAACTTCAGTTCCCTATTTAAGATAGGATGGGCCTGACCCAGTATGTTCAACCCTAAGCCAAAAAAGTATGTGGCTAGGTAGAGCATATGCTAACCCCACTTAAGGCTAGACTAGCCCAACTCTGCCCATTTTACAGTCAAATACCACAATTTGGCTTTGCAATGGGTGCTTCTAATGCTTGTATTGCAGTCAAAGACCACATGATCAACATAGTAATATAAAGGACAATGTCCACTCTTTTGCTTCTCCTTCTTCATTCTCTCTTTGGTTACTTTCTATGACAATCTAGTAGGAAGTTTGAAATTAATTAGCATATATAGAAAACAATCATTCTCAGGTCTCAATACATAAATGAGGAACTTATGAAGAAGCTGCACAGACAGTTGTTATTACCGTATTTTGCAGCTACTTAGTCCATTATACAAAAAGAAATGTTGCTTGAGAATAGAAGCCGAATGTAGAAAGCCAACTGGATATGCAGAGATAGTTGTTAGGGCATGGGCTTAGCCTAATTAAGATAGGGTTGGCCTGACCCTGTCCCTTCAACCTTAAAGGCCAAAAAACTCGTAACTAGGTAGAGCCTAGGCTAACCCCACTCAATGTTAGACTGGTTCAGCTCGGCCCATTTTGCACTCGAAGACCACAATTTGGCTTTGCAATGCATGGTTCTAATTCTTGTACTACAATCAATGACCACAAGAAGAGCATCGTATTATGAAGGACAATGTCTATTCGTTTGCATCTTCTTCTTCCACCTTTCTTTGGTTACCTTCTATGATGATATGGTAGGAAGTTTGGAATTAATTAGCATAAATTGGAAATGATCATTCTCATGTCTCAATATATAAATGAGGAACATATGAAGAATGTGCATAGATAGTTGTTATTACCTTCTTCTTCTTCTACTTAGTCCATTATATAAAAAGAAGGTTGCTTGCTTGTCCTTTCAAGTTTTATATGGTAAAATGTAACAGATATACATGGAAAATGTAGACAGCTGACTAGATATGCAAATAATGTTGTTAAGGCATGAGCTTATCCTATTTAAGATAGGGTGGGCTCGACCATGTCCATTCAACCCTAAGGACCAGAAAAACCCTTGCCTAGGTAAGGCCTCGGCTAACCCCACTCAAGGTTTGAATTGCTTGGCTAGGCCCATTTTACAGTAAAAAACAACAATTTGGCTTTGCAATGGGTGCTTCCGATGCTTGTACTGTAGTCAAAGACCACAAGCTTAATAGAGTAATATGAAGGACAATGTTCATTATTTTACTTCTTCTTCTTCCTCCTCGAATTGGTTACCTTCTATAACACTCTAGGAGGAAATTTAGAATCAATTAGCATATATAGGAAACGATCATTCTCATGACAAAAATGAGGAACTGATGAAGAATGTGCAAAGATGGTTGTTATTAACTCTTCTGCAACTACTTAGTCCATTATACCAAAAGAAGGTTGCTTGCTCGTCCTCTCAAATTTTATGTGGTAAAATGTGATGGATATACATGCCGAATGTAGAAAGCCAGCTAGATATGTAGAGATAGTTGTTCAGGCATGGGTTTAACCAATTCAAGGTAGGGTGGGCCTGACCCTGTTTGTTCAACCTAAGGGCCAAAAAAGCCTGTGACTAGGTAGAGCCTAGGCTAACCCTACTGCAAGCTAGATTGTCTCGACTAGGCCAATTTACAGTCAAATACCACAATTTGGCTTCACAATGGATGCTTTTGATGCTTGTACTGCAATTAAAGATCAACAAAGTAATATGAAGGCTAATGTCCATTCTTCAGCTTCTTAATCTTCCCCCTATATTTGTTTACCTTATATGATAGTTTAGTAGGAAGTTTGGAATTAATTAGCATATATAGGAAACGATCATTCTCATATCTGAATACAGAAATGAAAAAGGTGCATAGATAGTTGTTATTAACTCTTTTGCAACTACTTAGTCCATTATACCAAAATAAGGTTGCTTGCTTGTCCTCTCAAGTTCTATGTGGTAAAATATGATGGATATACAAGCCGAATGTAGAAATCCACCTTAATATGCAGAGATAATTGTTAGCACATGGTTAGGACCCATCCATGTTTGTTCAACCTTATAGGCCAAAAAATCTTGTAACTAGGTAAAGTATGGGCTAATCCCACTAAAGGCAGGAGTAGCCCAACTCAACCGAAATTACAGTTAAAGATCACAATTTTACTTTGCAATGAGTTCTAATGCTTGTATTGCAGTCAATGACTTCAAGATCAACATAGTAATATGTAGGACAATGTCCATTATTCTGCTTATTCTTCATCCTCCTCTCTTTGGTTACCTTTTAAGACTGTCTAGTAGAAATTTTGGAATTAATTAGCACATATAGGAAACGATCATTCTTAGGTCTCAATACAGAAATGAGGAATTGAGGAAGAATGTGCACATATAGGTATTATTACCTTTTTCAGCAACCATTGTTAGCCATAATGATGAAAATGACTATGCCAAATTGTTGACTCTTGAAAAAAAAAGAAAAAGAGAGAGAATAAGATAGAAGAATAAGAGTAGGTCCATATGCATTGGGTTACAAAATTTATTTTCTCATTGTAAACTTTTTCTTGTCTTTTTCATCATCACCATTACAACATGTAAAAGCTGCTATATTCTTTATTCTCCACATGTTTATGTTTCAGCTTGCTTGACCTCATAAACACAGAAAAGGTTTATAGGATAATGCTTAGCAATTGACAACAACACTCGCTGATTTCGCAGTTGCGTTGTTGTACAATAGTTGCGCATGACCCTCACAACACTATTGCAATGTAGTTTCACTAATATGCCTTTAATAAAAATCCATAATTTTCATATGTTAAATTATTGTTTGTATCGTATTTGATCAGCCTCTTTGGTACCAAGAGACCAAAAACAACAAGCATCGGCAAGTTCAATTGCTGATCAAGACCAACAAAGGCCCTCCTAAGACCAAGGGCACATGGCAGCCCCACAAGTGATGCCCACAAGTCTCACATCGAAATATTACCTCAAGGTTCCCCTCATATCTCCTCTATAAATAGGGCATTTGCCCAAATGCACAAAATAATAGTAATTTGGCTATTGTAACCTTATTCTACCAAATAACCTACTCACTCTATACATAGCTAACTTAAGGATAAGAGAGTCTTCGACCGATACCACACTAGTGCCAAGGTCTCACCCTCCTTGCACTAAGGAGGTCCACGACCAAAGGCAAGACATCATTATTTTGGTCCCATCAATAATCATCCATTTTTGGGCATCAACAATTATAAATCTTTGTAAAACATAATAAATCATACCGAATACACATCTAAATAAACTCTACTCATCCTAAAAAAATATTTAAAAAAATTTCTTGGACAATTTAGACATGTTTAGAGAGTAGTTATCAAGTATTCGATAACTTAGACATAACTCCATATGAACCATATGATATGTTTACTTATATGAAATATGAAAGACATGAATTGTGTAAATCAGTAAATGTGATGGAAGTCAAGAAGCAGAATAATCATGATGCTCATTTCAGATAACTAAACTAAACATACTAGTAAAGTTGAAAATTTGGGAAAACAAAAGGAGAATAACTTTGCAAATTACATAATTGAGAGGGCGCTTCGCACAAAATAAATTTAAAGTACAATAAAAATAAATACAATACGGACTCTAGATCAAGAGGACATATTATTGCAGAATAGAACATCACACCAAAGCCTCCTAAAAGCTCTGATTCGAAGATGCCAGTTTTTTATATTTAAAAAACTCCATTTTTCTCTGCATTTTGCAAGTAAAAGATGGCGAGAGTCTGTGATAGAGAATCTCTTGCAGGCAAAAATTAAAAACCATGCTGTGTCATTTTGAGGGGCTCTAATTCCGTAGCAAATCAGGAAAAGTCTTTTCCTTGAAATTTCTAAATAAGATGTTTTATTTTGCTTGCTATTCTCCAAATTCTGGTGCAGAAAATGGGTCTTTCAAAAATATGGGAACTCCAAGTCTTGTAGATCCCCTGTTTCTGCTACTCTGTTTTCGACACTTGACCCAACCGCATTAAATAAAACAGAAGATAAAAAATTGGTAAATGTAAGCATAATTTTCGGAGATTCCACATCACAATCATAAAAAAATGGTCATAAACTTCAAAAATAATTTACTTCCCATTCTATAATTTTCCATTTGAGATAATTCAGCTTTGTCAGTTTGCTCATTCTGGGGTTTTTTTTTCTTCTTCTGGTTTACTCTGGTTCAAAAATGAAATTTAAATACAGAAAAAGAAAGAGCTTTTATTTTATTTTATTTGCCTAACTAAAGTCCATCCAGGCAAAAGTGAAAACGGTGGATTTCTTTTCCGGCAGAGCTAAAAGGTAAAAGAAAATGAGATTATTCATCAAGCAGGAGACAAAAGCAAGTCAAAGAAACGTACCAAAAATACCATGCGCAACTCAGTATCTGTTTTCTGAAAGTGAACAGAGAAAAGAAAAAGAAATAAAAGTAAAAGAAAAGCGTTTGGTATAATTGCCTTATCTTTTTCGGACTGTTTATTATGCAGAGAGAGGAATTATAATACGCAATTGGGGTTGTTGACGCGTGCAGACATGGTCTCCTCTCTTAGCTGATAAACGTTACCTACTTTGTTAATGTATTGATAGAGAAGTGCCAAACGTTGTGAGGGTGGAAGCTTTTTGGGTAGGTGGAGGTCTTATCCTTGAAGCAAAAAAACAAAAAGCGTTTATTTTTATCTCTTCTTCTCTTCATTGTCTTCTGGGAAAGTTTCAGAATTTGGGTTTTGAGGAGGGTCAATAATTGGGTTGCATAGCTATATTTTGGAGATCATTTGTGAGGGTTGGGTTTGGTTGGCGAGATGGGTTCATATGGAAAACTTGCAAAGAGGGCTGTGGAGACTGAGATGCCGATCATGGTTCAGGTATTCAGGCAAAAACTCCAACTGGGTTTGTTGTAATTCTTTGAACTAAATCTGTTTTATCTCCAAATTTTGGGTCTTCTTCTTTGGGTGTGAATTGTTTGTGGTGTAGTTCCAAAGTATATGTTTTGGTGAAAATGGTAGTTGTTTTTGCAGATACAACAATTGTTTCGAGGAGCCAAGAATGCTGTGTCACTGGCCCAGGTTTGTTTCTCTTATCCCAAGGACTAAAATCTCATTTTGATTGGTTTTATGTTTTGCTGTAACCATGGAGGCATTGAGAAGTGAAAATGATTTTTTATTTGGTTTTGGCGTCGAGATAAATGGTAAACCCAAGTTATTGGACAATGAAAACCGTTTAGTTTGTTCTTTGAGGGTGAGGGCGTGTTTGGTGCTGATTCTGATTGCTGGAAACGATGAATGTGATACAAAAGAGGCATTTGATAATTCATGTTAGAATGAGTGTTTGACTAGGAAGCTATGCACCTAAAGGGTGAACAAGCTGTTTGTGTGTGCATATCTGGTTTACTTTTCTGGCTGTAAATACTTTTTAAGAAACACAAAATGAGAGAAGAATTGCAACCTTTTCCTATAGTAGTTTTTGTGCCAAGATTTAATAATTGAAACATGCATCTTTCAAGTTGAAAACTATTATAGAGAACCAAATAACATATCTCTGAAATCATGACTAATTGGAGCCAGTCCGTTCCAATTGTCAAACATGAGCCAACTTGCTAACTTAATGAAATAAAACACTCTATTTTGTTATATGTTAATTTATGTTCACCAAATTCCTGACCAATTTTTTAATCTATATTTTGCCAAATCTGCTAACTTGTTTATGTTATTTTTATTTATCTATTTTTTAACGGAGGGTTGCATTATATGCATGACGGATGTTCTAAAAAGCAGTTTGAATTTGTTCATCACATTGGAGTTTTCTTGCATCACTGCTTATTTTATGTGTTCTCTATCCCTTAGTTAGGTTTGGAAAATAGGCTTAAATGTTCTTTGGTTGAAATGTGCTGTAGGGAGTAGTTCACTGGCAACCACCCAAACAGGCTTTGGATAAGGTGAAAGAACTTGTATGGGAGCCTTCAATTAGTCGTTACGGTTTTGATGAAGGTATACTTGAACTCAGGGAGGCATTGGTAAAAAAGGTATGATTAGAAATAGTTCAGTGTTTCTCCTAATTATGATCGATTTTAATCTCTTAATACGGTTGAGATACTTGGGGTTCTCTGTTCAATGTTATATTCGAATAATACATGGCTTGTCATATTCTGTTTTATATGTCATTATTAACAATTACCCTTTAGGGACTATGCCAAGGATTGTTGTCTTTGTCTGAGATCAATATTTTTGAAAATATGACAATGCAACTACAAATTTATAACATCTTTTGTCATCTCTTTTTTTTTTCCTTCTTTATTTTGCAGTTGCATAATGAAAATAAGTTGTACAAATCTTCAGTGATGGTTACTTCAGGTGCAAATCAGGTGATTATCATTTATTTTATGTTGTGTATTTGCATATAAAAAAAGAACAAATATCTTTATCTTGAAAAGAAACCAAAGTTAAGTTTGGAAAGGCAAATTATTTGTTTTATAATTTGTGCAACTTAGCAGCCGAAACTTCCCTGCTAAACTTCGAGTGATTAGCACCTATTAGGATAAAAATAAAATATTTCTCTGGAAAATTGTGTTGCCCGGTGAATTTCATATTTGCAGCTGTAGCACCATCTGATTCAGACACATAACCTTAAAAAAATCATACATTATGGTCATCTTTGCAATTTATTTTGATCTCTAGTTGCTCAGCCTTTTGAATATGACAACAAATATTGAGTTTTACAGAACTCATTTCAAGAAATCTGGGATAACTTTGTAACAATTTCAATGCAGGCATTTGTGAACCTTGTTCTTACATTGTGTGATTCCGGGGACTCTGTGGTTATGTTTGCACCATACTACTTCAATGCCTACATGTCCTTCCAGATGACCGGCGTCACTAATATATTGGTGGGTCCTGGCCACCCAGAGACACTTTACCCAGATGCAGGTGAGAAGCTTAATGAACTTCTCATTGCAGAGGGACATAAAAGAATGACAACATTTTTGAACTTCCATCAAATGATATTTCTACTCTTTCTATCTGGATATAAATATAAGCACACAGTATCAGAAAGGGTGTAATGTTTGCCATTGGTCGAATCAAGTAAAAAGGCTTGTTATCTTCTGTTGTCATTGCATGATAAATTGTGACTGCTGCATATATTTAGTTCCCCTGTCTAATCACTTATATTGAGACTGCTAAAGTATCATAACATATTACATTAGGTTCGTGATAAATTATTGGTGCATTCCAACAGTCCATCTTGGACGTGCTGGGGCAGGCATGATAGTTACAACTTGGATCATTTGTCATGCATTGGATTGTCTGATTGCTTCTATGCATAATTAAGGTACATTATACATATAAGTTGCATCTTCTATTGATTCCCCATAAATAGGTGGGCTTGTGCTCGATGTTAGATTAAAATTGAACGAATTAAAAGGGGCACACAAATTCTCTACCAGGTGGATTGGAGAATTAATATGTTTGTGGAATTTGAGATAAAGCAATGTGATTGACTGTAGAGTATGTCCAGTAAATATTCTTTCTTTATATCATATATACTACTTTGTTATTTCAGACTGGTTGGAGAAAACGTTATCGGAAACAAAGCCAACCCCAAAACTTGTTACGGTTGTTAATCCTGGCAACCCAAGTGGAACCTATATTCCGGACCCTCTTCTTAAGGTCTCTCTCTCTCTCTCTCTCAATTCGTGTCTATGTACAAAAGAGTTTGCAGTTGTGATTGTGTATGCATACAAAAAAGTTTGTTGTGTTGATTGAGTGAATAAACTGTTTGGTTTCTTAGAGATATTCTATATGCTTTTCTTATTTTCTTTCCTCTCTTTGTGAGTAGAGGATTTCAGATATTTGTAGAGACGCTGGATCATGGCTTGTTGTGGATAATACATACGAGTAAGTGTATTAAATTTTATCTGATTGGAAATGCTGCAATAATATGTTCTTAAGTCATTATTTTGCTGACTTGATGACATGGATTTATATGATTCTCATCTAGAATTTGGTCCATGTTCAAACATGGGTGTATTCATTGGTATAAATCTCAGGGCACACACATAACATTGCCTGTGGGTTCCCTTTTAGGAGGAATGGAAGTTACTCTGATCAAAATCTCAGTTGATTTCATGGCAACAATGATGGTGATCCTTGCATCTGTTTTTGTCCATGAAACTTCACTGACTATTAAAAAAGTTTCACATTGTGAACTGCATACTACATTCAAGTTTTTTTCTAATTTGATTAGCATGCAAATTGATCTGGAGTTTTTGTACGAGGAATTATGTAAAGATATGTGAAGATTGGGGCTGAGATCCATTATAGTACTGAAGGAAAGCAAAAGATGAAATAAAATAGAATAGCAAAAGAAGGAAGAGGCTGTAAGTTGGTTTGATTCTTCCATTCTATTGAAAATAAAAATAACCTGAACCATTTGGTCTTCTCCCCCTGACATCTTTTGAATATCTCCAAGTTTAAAGATTCTGAGCTTTACTGAAGTGAATGTTTACTCAGATGACTTTTTGCCTATAATTGGATTGAGATGTTTGGATGCCAGGGAAAATGGATTTACAAAAGTGACAGGAATACTGTTTAGAAAACCTTAATTGGGCAGTGTGTCCAACTGAGCATTTGAATAGGTTACTGTAGCTTTAAAAAGGGGGAGCCTACAGATTTCTCTGTCCTTATCAAAGTTCTTTGAAGAAAGCCTTTTATAATCTCTCTACATTATGGACCCACAGCAATGTCAGTCCATAACTTTCTTGAATAGCAGTTATGTGAGTTTGCCCTTTGCTTCAGCAGAGGTTAGTTTGTCTCGGTTATATTGCCTAGTACCTATATACACTTATATTAATAGTTGAAGTCCACTGAGTTCAAAATGTTAATGTGTAAATAGGTTTTAATACATTCCATTTGCACTAGATTGGGTCCATCAAGAATGACATATATACCAAATTGATGACTTATTTACCTGAGTACTCTTGAGTGTATTCAAAGAAACATCTTTTTCTTTTTTCCTTTTCATCAGTTGTCGGATTGCTAACTGCTTTTGATTGAAGAATTAATGTGTTAAATGTTTGCTTCTGAAGCATCCAAGAGTACATGTGGGTTTTAAAGTTTGATTTTGCAGGTATTTTATGTATGATGATTTGAAACACACATGTGTGGAGGGAAATCACATAGTCAACATTTTTTCCTTCTCGAAAGCTTATGGGATGATGGGATGGCGAGTTGGATACGTAAGAAATACTTTTTATCTCTTATGCTTGTTAAGTTGATAGAGCTGGTTTGAAAACAAATTTGAGTTTTGCTTTCATTCAGTAAGGTATAGAGCTTGCATCTTGCTAGCTGATAATTACCTTCAAGTTTCTTGTGGTAGTGTATTCTGACAAAGAAAATCAGCTAAATCAACAAGAGTCAAAAGGTCATTTATGGGCAATCACCTTATCAAATAGCCATTTAACCAATCAAATATTTTTGACATTTCCTTGCATGAACATGAGTCATAGAAGTTTTGATCGATCTTGAAATGGTCAAGGTTGTTCTCTTTGAACTAAATATTTGATAACATATATATGCATGAGTAAGCATTGCTGATTCAAGCCAATTGATGAATTTATGCAGATAGCATACCCATCAGAAGTAGAGGGTTTTGCTACCCAACTCCTCAAAGTTCAAGATAACATTCCCATCTGTGCGTCAATAATTTCACAGCACCTTGCGCTCCACTCATTGGAAATGGGACCCGAATGGGTCACTGAACGAGTGAAAGGTCTTGTCAAGAATAAAAATATTGTTCTAGAAGCGCTCTCCCCTCTCGGAAAAGATGCTGTTAAAGGTGGAGAAGGTGCTATATACTTGTGGGCAAAGCTTCCGGACAAATATGTAGATGACAATAAATTTGTTCACTGGCTTGCTCACAGGCATGGGGTGGTGGTGATCCCCGGAAGTGCATGTGGGTGCCCAGGAAATGTGAGAATCTCCTTTGGTGGCTTGCTAGAGGATGACTGCAAAGCTGCCGCAGAAAGGCTGAGGAGAGGGTTAGAAGAATTGATCAGCGATGGAATGGTTCAGTAACTTTAACTATTGCATTTAATTCAACATTGAAAATGGAAGTCTATTTGCCAGTTTACACAAGTTTGAAACTGGTTCTTTAGAATAATGGAGGGTCTGCTGCCAGCAAAAGAGTTAGAGTAATTTCAATGAAGTAGGCAATGCCTAAGTTCTAACATGTGCTTGTATTGTTATTGTACACATTGATCTTTAAAATACATGCAATACATGGTTCAAATGTTCACATATATATGGTCGTATATTTCTTTTCCTTTTGTTCGAACTATTTCTGCATTGGAAACAATCATTTTGAAAAATTGTGTCAAATTCCCAGAATGAAAGTAGAAGCTACCACAGCCCTGGTTGCTTCTGTATGTATGGTAGACAATTTTGACTGTGTTACAATAGTAAGCTGTGTAGTTCTATCATAAGTTGTGCCTCTATTAGTCTAAACTCTTTCATGCTAACACCAAAATAAGGTTTCTTTGAGAATGATTGTGTTTTCTGTTGATATGTTTATTTACTAGGATGGGTATTATAATTATTGTAATTCTTGACTTCCTCTAACACATACACATGGGTATTTTCAACTCATGACTTCCCCAGTGTCTGCTAACACAAACGAAATTGAAAAGTAGGTGGTGTTCACATTACAATTCGTAATCCAATACTTAAAAAACCATGAACTAGATTGATGAAGGTTAGGCAGCCATACTCATTTATTCTCTCCCCTAGTTGCGATGAGTGTGTTATAAGTACTCTACTACTGAAGTTATAAGATTTAACATTTGGTAGAAGTTATCGATAAGTTAAACAAATGGAAAGAAAAAGAAACTTATTTTTTCCTTTTTGACACAAGGGTGGGTGGGGGAACAAGAAAGAAACCTTAATTTGAAATATTTAATAATGAGTTTGCCAATTGCCACCATTCCTCTTCAAAAAATTAAAAAAAGAAGAAAAAGGAAAAAGCAAAAAGAAAGAAAATAAGTAGAAATCATGAAACGGGTATTGAGTTGGGTCATTGTGGGCCCATTTTTTTTTTACTGAACAAGCTTTTGTGTTCAAACTTCGGTTGGGCGGGCCCTACATACTCAACAACAACCACAACCAATCTCACACACCAACATAGCCCAACCACGTAACGACTAAATACCAAGGACAATTTGGTCAATTCACAAAGCATAATTCCCCTCCTCCCCCACCTGGAAACGTTTAAACGGCGACGTCAAAAGCTCCCTGGGCTGCTTCATCGTCCTAGAGAAAGACAGAGGGTTCTAAAGAGAGAAACTGTTGAGTTCGAGTTTGAGCTTCTTCTTCCTCAGTACATGAACCCTAATTGTGCGGAACCCTAGAAATCAGAGCTAGCGAGCGAGAGAGTGAAAGAGAGAGAATGGTGGGGCCAACTCTGGTGGGTCTGCAAGACCACCTGAAGCTGGCGAGAGAGTACGCAATGGAAGGGCTCTACGATACCTCCTTGATCTTCTTTGATGGTGGCATTGCTCAGATCAACAAGTACATTTCTTTTTTTTTATTTTAATTTTTGTGTTCTTTCCTTTTGCCCTTTTCGTTACAATTTTATCTGTCTCGGATATGTGTGCAAATTTCTAGGTTTTGGTTGGTCATTCTTTTGAAATTTGAGCGTATATGGAATTGCATTTTTGGGTCTCTGTTTGATTCATGCGGACCTCAAGATTTGGTTTTTCTAGCTACATTTTCCTATATCTTTTCAATGGATAACCAATCTTCCGGGAAAATGTCCATTCTTTTTGCTTGTTTTGTGATAATTGAAAGTGTTGGAGGTGGAAAGAGAATTTTTGGGCATTCTTCGAAGGAAATTTTTGTTAATGAGTGCCAGAGGCCCTTTACTTTTATTTTTCTGATTTGTATATGAAAATGAACAAATGAGAAAAGAATTAGTCCTACTGATTATTACTATCGCATTCTGAAGGAACTGACTATCTACTTTCAGGGTGTCGGAAACCATGAATTAATTGATGAAGTAGAGATTACAAACATGATTGAACTATATAGAGCTTTCCTAAACCATGAGATTGCAACATATGCACAATTTCAATGTTTTCACATTTGAACTATTTGAGCTAAGAAACAACTTTTATAAAATGATTAAATTTGAACTAGATTGAGCAAAAAATTAACTTTATAAGGTTATGATTTTCGCTTTTATTAATCCACAAGGGGTTTGAGTTGTGCAAGAAAACTATTTGGGAAAGGGTTGGGAGGATTCCATATGCCTACTGCAAGGGGTGCAGTTGATTTGCCCTGACAAGAATATGCTTTGGATTTTTTTTTATGTGTATTCATTTACATGACAACTGGGGAAGAGTGGAGAGGATGATGTTTTCCCAGTTCTCATTATCAAATAGCATCCAAAGATTAATAGGGTTAAAAAATTTCTTTGTAGAAGTTTTTGTAGGTGCTATATTCTACCAAAACAGCGTGATGGCCCTTTGCCAGACTATGATCTGTTTTGAATGTATCATTGGAGTTCTATGATTTATAGCATTAGTTTTGTGATTATTGTTCCTCCCTAAGTTTACTTGGCAGAGATTTGAATATCTTATTTGCTTCCAGGCACCTAAACACGCTTGATGATCCGTTGATTCGCTCGAAATGGATGAATGTAAAGAAAGCACTTACCGAGGAGGCAGAGGTTGTGAAACAATTAGATGCAGAGAGAAGAGCATTTAAGGAAAGTCCCTTGGGCCGACGCCCTTCGTCGCCTCCAATTCATGCTAAGTCGTCATTTGTTTTTCAACCCTTAGATGAATACCCAACTTCCTCTGGTTTGCCCATGGATGATCCTGATGTGTGGAGGCCACCAAGTCGGGACACTACAGGTAGAAGACCTGGAAAGGCTGGCCCAGGTGGTATGAGGAAGTCACCACAAGATGCAACTTGGGCTCGTGGCTCTGCAACAAGAACAGGCACACCTGGCCGTGGTACAAAGGCTGGTGGATCAAGTAGGTCTAACTCAGCGGTTCGAACATCTACTACTGGAAAGAAAGGCACTGGTTCCGGCAAATCTAGCAAGGCAGATTCAGCGGTAAGTTCTATCAATAAAGCTGTAATCTTCATTATTCAAATACCCATCACTAGTTAATTATGGTGTGCTAAAAACTTTTGTCTTGATATCATTTGCTTCATATTTCCTTTTTGCGAGGTGATGGAAAACTATGACCTGGTGTCGTAGTTTTTAGCATCAAAGTTTGAATCTATAGTTTCAGTATCTTTCATTGTCCTGCAGACTGATTTGTTTTTGAAATTTTTAGAATGGTGATGCTGAAGATGGAAAGTCAAAGAGGTCACAGTATGAGGGACCGGATCCTGATTTGGCTGAAATGCTTGAAAGGGATGTGCTGGAAACCAGTCCTGGAGTGAGATGGGATGATGTTGCTGGTTTGACTGAAGCAAAAAGGCTTCTAGAGGAAGCTGTTGTGCTTCCTTTGTGGATGCCTGAATATTTTCAGGTATTGTTGAATTGAAACTCAATTATGATAATGGTATCTTGGGTACATGGCTATTTGCATGCGATCTTTCCTATGTTATCACTTAAGTTTCGTTAACAAGCTGCACTTCCTTAGGATCTTACTTTGAATTGTGTAGCTACTTTTTGTATGGTTGTTGTTGTTATGGAATATATTTGACGACATTTAAACGAATCCAAATGAAAGTAGTTACATTAGTATGACCCAAATAGTGTTCACATCTGTACTTTGAAAAAGCAGGCTTTAATTTGTATCTACTTCACATTTCTGCATTTCAGTGAAGTAATTGATTCTTATTCTACATGCTGAAATGTCTCTATCCAGGTGGTCCATTCTTCAGATTGAACTTATTGCTTCTTTGCTTGCAGGGAATTAGGAGGCCATGGAAGGGTGTTCTTATGTTCGGTCCTCCTGGAACTGGGAAGACGTTACTTGCTAAAGCTGTTGCTACTGAGTGTGGAACAACTTTTTTCAATGTCTCGTCTGCTACTTTAGCTTCAAAATGGCGTGGAGAGAGTGAACGTATGGTACGGTGCTTATTTGATCTTGCAAGAGCTTATGCGCCGAGTACAATATTCATTGATGAAATTGATTCACTTTGCAATTCCCGGGGGTAAGATTTTAATCTAGTTTTACATCAATATCTTAATTAACTTCTCAGATGTTATTGCATGTATGTTATATTCGTGGAAAACTTACATATGCATGAGGTATCTTTTCTTGCGTTGACCCAAATTCAAAACCTCAATTTCTCTAGGGCATCAGGGGAGCATGAGTCATCCAGAAGGGTGAAATCTGAACTTCTAGTTCAGGTAGATGGGGTCAACAATACTGGCACAAATGAAGATGGTACTCGTAAAATAGTGATGGTTCTGGCCGCTACTAACTTTCCATGGGACATAGATGAGGCACTCAGGTTGGCCCTTATTTTGTTGTATTTATGTTTCAGTCTCCTAGCCTTCAAATTTGAGTTATTAAGAGTTGATGTGGTCAGCTGTGTGTATATTGCATCTTGCCAATGGACTGCACCTGTTCGCTCTTGATGTATCTAACCTAGTGTTACTCATTCAGGAGGAGGCTGGAGAAGCGTATATATATTCCCCTACCAAATTTTGAGAGCCGTAAAGCACTTATTCGGATAAATTTGAAATCTGTCGAGGTAACAACTGACTACGAATATTGTATTATTGTTATGTTTTTGTAGTCAAACCGTAATTTGAGCGAGTAAATTTTTCTCATACATGTTATTATAAAAAAATAAACAAATGTTATGTTTATTTCCAAGGTTTGTGTGGAAATTGCTTCTAATTATTCCTATTTATCTGCATCAGGTGGCTCAGGACGTAGATATTGATGATGTGGCTCGCAGAACAGAGGGATATAGTGGTGATGATCTCACAAATGTTTGCCGGGATGCTTCCCTGAATGGGATGAGGCGCAAAATAGCTGGAAAGACGCGTGAAGAGATTAAGAGCATGTCCAAGGATGATATCTCAAAGGATCCCGTTGCCATGTGTGACTTTGAAGAAGCCTTGCGGAAGGTCCAGCGGAGTGTTTCTCAAGCTGATATTGAACGGCATGAGAAATGGTTTAACGAATTTGGATCAGGATAGATCTTATCAGCGCATATTGTAGGTGATAAATTGATGCACTGCATGGTCGAGTTTCTGAGTGATTGTGTCTTGTTTTCCTTGATCTTTTCCTTTGTATTTAGGCATAAATTTATTTGTGCATTCCAAGTGTTGGAAAGGTGTCATAGTGTTGTGCCATTTTGTATCTGTAACCGTGCATGAGTATATAATCTGCTTCATACTACTAATACACTGCAAATTTCATTCAATGATTTATAATTTGACATTCAGTAAGAGAATGATACAACGTCCTTATGATTGAATGTATGTGCTATCGTCAGAACATTTTTCATGGGCCAATTCCGAAGCCAAAATGGCCTACAAGCAGGGAAATATTTTAGGCGGGAAGGGAAGGTACAGTGCCACGTGTTACTAATCCACGTGTCATAATATGGATTGATTGATGGACGACGTGGTTGATACTTCATGGATCCAGGGTGCAATATCAATGAATAGATATACATATATATTATAACATGAATGGATTGACAACGCTACTTGATCGGATCTGAAGGGGTTTGGTTTTGATTTGTTTTGTTTTTCTAAGACACCTGTTCCTCGAACCCATCTTCCGAGTTTGAGCACTTGGTTGCATCAATTGATTGGGACGGCTAAAGTTCCTTGGCTGGACGGACCTAAAAATTTGGCTGCGTTTTGAAACCTAAAACAAAAGAATCGAGTTAAGAAAAAAATGTCTTTGGTGGTGAGCCAATGCCCCAAGCTGGCTTTTCATAGACAAATAAAAAAAAAGAGTGTGAAACAGAAAAAAGGCGGCAATATGGGTGCATTTTGAGGGAGCATATTGCCACAACCACAACACTAAACCACCTTTATAAATAAAAATGCTGTTTCCAATTTAATTAAGTTGCTCCACCAACCTACCAACCTTGTCTCATCTCACACCAAAGATCATGGGAGCCTTCAATTTCAATCTCAATCTCATTTCTTTTCTTCTTCTCCTTGCCCTCTTCACCTTGTATCCTACTACAATCATTTCCACACAGTTGAGTTCACCAAACTCACTAGGAGGTAAAATAGATAGCAACCTATTTGCCCTTGAAATTAATTAACTTGGTTTGATTTGATGTATATAGATTTTAATTCAAATTTGTATTATTGGGTTTAAGTTGGATTTGGGTTTTGAGCAAATGGTGTTTTTGTTTGATATTTAATTTTTGTTGTGATGGTGATGATAATGTGGCATGCATGGCAGATATTGAATGTCAGTATATAAATTGTGGGGAAGGAGTATGCAAGGCTTCTAATGAGACACTGCTTGGTTTTGACTGTGAATGCAATCCTGGTTGGATAAAGATTCACGTTGGTCTATTGACCCTCCCCACTTGTGTTCCAAACTGTGAGTCTCTCTCTCTCTCTCTCTCTCTCTCTCTCTCTCTCTCTCTCTCTCTCAAATGTAAATGCCTGCCATTCAAGTGTTTAGAAGCATTTATCCTTATATTCAAGATTCTAAGTTCAATTCTCCATTCCCAAATATCGCTTGTATAGAAAAAATGTAAATACTCAAGAGATAAATTAAGTTGCCTTTTAAGTTTTAGTTTTAGTTTTTTTTTGTCTAGTACAAGCGGTAATCACACACGCACAACCAAGATGCCATGGGGAATTCGAATCTGGGACCTTTGATCTGCATTGCAAATCAAGGCCCTTTTAAGTGTTAGTTTAATGTATAAATGAATGACCATTATGTATCAATGTTTAAAACAGTTGCTACATTCATTGGTCGATCCAAATTTACACGTAGTTTTGAAGGAAAATTATGTCATAAGAATATTTTTTTGAAAGATATTACGTGTGTTGAATTGTCAAAATGTGAATCCAAATCATACATTTAAGCGTAATTTTTTTCTTCTAACTAACAATGTTGATTTACAACTTAGCAAACCATGTTTTCTAATAAGAGAAAGTTGATCATATAGTCACCTTATTTATGTGAATTTTTGGTACTGTAACTGTAATCTGGCACTTTGCAAATATTACAGGGGCAGGCTAGCTGTAATATAATATAATCAATCGGCTATCACAATTTTGTTGGCATTAAAATAGTAAAAGGACGCTAATTACAAGAAGATTGTGATTTGGTTAAATACAAAAAGATAAATAATTTTTTTGTCATTGCTTCAATCGACATGTGAACATGGGCGGAATTACCACAAGGGCTACATCCCCAGTCAGGTTTTTGGGATAAAAAAATATTAAACTTATATATTTACCTTCTTTCATATATAATTCAGTATGTATTAACCTGTAAAGTAAAAAAAAATCAAATTTTTTTTTATGAAATTAGTTGCATGACAATAATAAAAATACATATTAAAATAGGTAAACTTTTAATTATGTTGGTGAACATATTTTCATTTTGATAATATATGGTTTTAGCTCAAATAATAAAGATCATTTTCCCTCACCCAATATCGCTTGTATTCAAAGAATTTATTATTATTATTATTATTATTATTATTATTGGAAATTAGTCAATTGAGCTATGAACTAGCATGGTTTATTATATAATTTAATGTATACTTTTATTTCTATAAAAATTAGAGATTTTTTTTTGGTGCTGATTTTCTCACTCACTTTCTTTTTGTCCACTTACACTCCATTTTGTTTTTTAATAATTTTTTTTTACTATAATATATAATTTCCAACAAAGAGAATGTAAGTAAATGAAAAAAATAATGGAAAAATAAACTCCCTTTATTTTTTAATCACAAGTTACTAACATAATTTTCCCTTTTTACTCTTCTCCTAATTATGGAATGGCAATCCACTGACAAAATAAACCATTTCAGCATGGACTTTTTATCTGCCTTATTTTTGGAATATTGCTACTTTTACTATAGGTAAATTAGAATTGCGGATGCTCTAGATACCAGAGAAGTAGGTTCAGAAATTCACCCTCCATGCCACAATTGAATTTCCACTTTGATTATTCTTTTAATATATAGAGACACAATAATTGGTTTCATATATGATGATTATTTGCAGGCACGATTAATTTCCAGTGTGATGAATCTCCCTCACCACCCGCACCACCTGCTCCTCTGATTCCGCCAAAAGGTGATATAGCAAAATTATTCGTTTACCATGCATAAATACATTTTCACTTCGAAAAGACTGAAAACAAGTAATGCTATACATATCACATTTTTATTCGTTTACCATGCATAAATACTTTCACTTTCTTTTTCATGCATTAACAATGAAAATTAATTTCCAGGCTGTGCTCTTGTTTGGTGTGGTGATGGAACCTGCGTAACCAATGGAAGTGGATACGCATGCCAATGCCCTCAAGGCTCATGGAACTTGTTGGATGTGCCAAGCTTCGCATGCTTTAAACCATGTAAGCTATCAATTATATTTATCAAACAGTCTAGAGAGTTAATTTTATTAACTTTATTCACAGTTTTCTTGCAGCTTATTATCATTATTTTTACTTTATCTTTACAGTCACTTTGTTCTTTTCTAAACCGTATTTTAGGTTATCTTGGAGGAGATTGCAAGAGCAAGGGATTCAATTCGCCGGAATCGTCAAGTACTCGTATCTCTCAAAGAAACCGTATATCATGTAGGTGTACATTTATACAGTTTTAAGCACTGAAAAAATGATTAACATTAATTAAAAGAAAATTACCATGAGGTAATGTTCTTTTACTTGATCATTAACATGTCATGTGGAACCCTTGTTTGAATGTAAAGAATATTTCCAGACCGCAAGATGTCTACACTAAACATTTGAATACATTCAAACAAGATTCTACATGTATGCATGGCCAATGATCTAGATTTATAATTTAACAACATAACATGATATTATGTTGTTTGATAAGAAATTTTTTCCTATTATCATATACCCTCTAACTTTGAATGGACTTAATTGGGCCAATGGGCTTTTGCCTGGTCCTGCTGGTTGACTTTCATATCCTTGAGCCAGCTTTTTTGGGTTGGATAAGTCCATTGTATATGCTGAAGTTCATCTAAGCCCAATGATTCTTTCTATAACCAACTAGTTTTTCGTTTAGTAGTACTTTTGTTTCCAGTGTTGAAAGAGGTTTCAAGTTCGATTGTCTCCCCTTCCCTACCCTATCTAATGGGGAATTGTTTCCGTCAACTATATTTTGAAGTATTTATTTTAGTTTTTATTTTTTTTTTTTTTTACTTATTTTTTATGATACTTTTTTTTTTTTTTTTTTTTTTTTTTTTTTTGTTTGGGTACAGTAACCATTATCCTGTTGATATCAATCATTCTAACATGGATTTGACATGGAAGCAAACGTAGGACGAGAAGACAACATGTACAATTATATAATGTCATGTTCAGATGGTGGCCATGATTTTTATTCTGTACTTTTTTGTTTAATATTTTGGAGTACACACACACACATATATATATATATATATATATTGGATCAAAATAAAGTCTATTATTTAAGAGCCAATTAATTATAAAATAAATGATCTCCATGTATTATTGTATCTCATGAACTCTCAAAGATTTGAACCCGAAACCTATCCCCGAGAAGAGAAGGGTGGATTTAGTAGTACCTAATGTTGCAATAATAATAATAAGGGGAAAGGAGAGCAAAGAATTTATAAGAGACAGAGAGAGTACAAGAGCAGGGACAGTTCATAGATTTTGTTGCCTTGTTAACTAGAGAACAATTGCATGTGCTCAAGAAAGGTTGCTCTGCATTATATATGTTGATCCAAATTGCTTATAATTGTATGGCTTGTTTTTTTTTTTTTTTTTTTTTTTTTTGTTTTTTTTTTTTCTAGTTGTCATCTTTCATGGTCCCAACAATTCCTGTTCATGTCTGAACTAGATTACGTGCTGGTACTTTCAATTGCTTAATATATATATGATTGGTAATAAATTATGTGGCTACTTGGCTTTTGTGAGGTAAACCCAAAATGATATTGTTCTGGAACTGACAAAACCCATAATCATATTTTCATTGTCTCAAATCTAAAGAAATGGAAGACTTACTAAATCGACTGCTTTGGTGTTTGAAGGCAACCATAAAACCATGCATGGTGTTTAGAATAGACAAGTATAAAACCAATTTTTATTATTTTTGTTTAAAATTATCTTGTTTGGTGCTTATTTTCAAATCTAAAAGTCCAGAATGAGTTCATTTGAAGTAGAGCATAATCTTGGATCACCAAAGAAATTGAATTTTGAGGATGAATTCTCTCCAAAATGGGAAGGATCATGCAAACTTGCATGTTCCGATATCAATTTAGGAAAGTTTTGGGGCAATTTTGTTTTCTTTCCAAAAATTAATCTTTTCTTATCTTGATAATTTTATTTTTTAAAATTTTTTTAAGGTCAAATGGTAGGGAGATAACATTCATAAATTACGCCACAAGAGCAATACAAATAAAATAACCACTAAGGGGTTGAAACCACTAACTTTAAAATAAATAAATAAATAAAACACACATATCTGTCACAGCCACCACCACTGCAGTCGCTGCGAGGGGTTGAAAGGGAAGAGGAGAAAGAAGAGAGGTAAGGAGGAAGAAAAGAGGAGGGAGAGAGGAGGAGAGGCCGAGACCACCTCCCCCTTTGTTTTAGCGCAGAAATTTAGGGTTCGGGTTTGGATTTGGATTTGAGAGCGTATTTAATGCACTATCTCTAGACCAAAAATAAAAGTACTATATGGATAATTTTATCAAGTCGTGATAACTTTCTTGAAGATCAATAACACAAAGTAGCATGTTGTAAAAGTCAAGTAATATTGTAAGAAACCTTTCTTACCATGGGAACATGTTTAGACCCGTACGATTTGCAGCTTTATTATCTGGGTCCATTGTCAGCACAATGCGATAAAAATTCCATAATACATAAAACTAAATTTCAATTATGCGATGTGCATGGTTAGGGCACTGCAAACTCATGTGGCCACTTGTTCCTGTCGCTAATATTTTCTAGATTGATCTGGTTGAATTCTTAGCTCCATCAATCAATTGTTTTGTCCACTTCTTTACTTGGTAAATGTAATCAAAATCTTAAGCGAATGTTTAATAACTATTTCAATTTTAGTTTTTATTTTTATTTTTTTTAGCTGTAGTATAGAGGAAAAAAAGAAAGAACGGAAGTGAGAATAAAAGTGGAGATGAAATTGAGAGGGGACGATGCGAGGGAGAAGTAACAAAAGTGAAAACAATCCTTCCCATCCTTCCCTTCCATCCTTCCCTCTCAATCTTATCCTTACTCCCATTCTGACTCTCATTTTCTTCTATGCTCTAGCATAAAAAATAAAAACTAAAAACTAAAATTGAAATGATTATCCAACCGGCCTAAACAATTTTAGTTTGCTTTATTGCAACTGCTTATTTTCTTATTTTGTTCTATTTCTTGCTTACTCAGCATATATATCCTTTCCTTATGATCATTCTTTTAATCATCAAATGCTTGAAATCCAAAAGAAGAAACGAGTAACATTGTTTCCACTGCTCAACTTAGAGAAGAGAGAGAAGAAAAGGATGAATGTTAATTATAATAATAAATTTCTTTCTTCTTTTTAATTTTTTATTTCAATATATAATATTATCTTTCTCTAGTAGGAATCTCAATTATTTTCTGCAGCTTTAGATCTTACACTTTAACAGAATCTCTCTCTCTCTATGCACAATTTGGGATTTTCAGGTCAGAGATTTTTCATATATATATTTTCTTTTTCACATAAAAGTTTTAATTAATGATCAACAATATAGTTATATAAGTATAGTTTGCAGCTCATTGTTTCTTTTGAACATGCATGGAAACATTGCACAATTTTCTCTGTCTACGTGTATTTTAAAAAAATTATATTTGATAACATCATTAATCAGTTTATTTAACAACATTAATGTAAATATCTCAATGTTCTACTCAATTCTGAAAAAATATTTTAGAAACTTTTTCCCTTCTCTACAAAGGTAGGATATATAGGAAATTTTGTGGTACTACATATTATACTATAAGTGAATATTGGAATTATAATTTTGGATATATCAACAAATATCCACTCATATCGTAATACGTGACCGTATTATACCAAACCATAATTTTTAAATACATGTAAGCCCAAATTTTTGGGAATTTTTTTTTTTTATAGTTATTGGCTATATATTTAGTACTTCACCATACAGCCGCAATAGTGAAATGAAGACAAGAAGCACTGGTACCCAAAATGTCCGGATCATATAAATCCTGGCAAATTTATACAATTGAGTGCAATGAAAATGAAGGTGAGTTACCCCTTCAGCTCTCCATCCGACGTAAGAGAAAGGAAAATGAATGGCACAAAGGCATGATTTACCTTTCCGGCTTTTAGCACCTCTGTATAAAGATAACGCTGCAATTGCGAATGGTGAGATTGCCCACACCCCTACGTCTCGATTCATCTGCAAGTCATTATTAGGGAGATTCATTATTATTATTTTTTAACCGAAAAAAAGAAAAAAAGAAGAAGAAGATTTTTTTATTTCTGTGGAAAGAAGAATACTTTATAGTCAAAAGGGAAAAAGCAAAAATCCAACATATATGATACCAATATGGCAATCTGTCAAGAGTGGAAGGTTGATATATACTAACTTCCAAACTCAAATGTAGTGGAGAAGACTGAAGAAGATGACATTTGATGCGTCAAAATACTGTGACCCATATTATATATGTGTATGTATATGTGTAGAGGACAGATATGATAAGAGAAAGGGGCAGCCACCTTGTTTTAATATTCCATTCTATCTTCACCTTGTTCTTGGTGTTTTTCCATTGGTTTGCTGCTACACCATGTGTGTTGGTAAGAGAGTTTGGGATATGAAAAGGAAAAAAGCGACCCCAAGTGCAGTAAACTATATAATACACTAAAAAAACTAATCATGGCATGTTGTCCCCCAAAAAGTCTCCATTTTCTTGCATGATCTTCTCATTCTTGTCAGTGTGCACGCAATGTATACTAATTAAATGTCAACATTTATGATATTATTGATAGAATTTCTGAGTGAAATGTACAACAAAACTAATATCATCCAAAATAAAATATTTAATTTTAGAATTTGCTAATAATTAAGAGAAAGTATCGAAAATAATTTATACTGTGGTTGTGGAGGTAAAAGAAAGGATTATAGCCGTTGCCTCATTAACAAAGCTAGCAATTTATCATAATTGTTGGCGTAATAAAGAAGCTCCTATCATAATTGAGTTTCACTGTCGACAATTCCTCTTGATGGGTAATCTGTAAAAACTTAAAAAGGGGGTTAAGACCCCCTCTATAAGTCCTCAAAGAGACCTTGATATGTCATGATCCTGAGATAGGATAGTCTCCCCTCTTCCCTTAAAAAAAAATCTACATATATATATATATATATATATTCCATATTCAATATCTTCTAGATTGCCTTAAGAAAAATCTTATCTATACGACAGCAATTTTTTAATAATGTGTGTATGTATATCTTGTGACACGTAAGTCCAACCAAGTAGCTAGGTGATTGCGTATGTTACTGATTGCTACAGGTGCCTAAATTGACCAAGCCATCTAATAGTAGCCTTTTCAAGCACATAGGCTGTAAATAGGAATTT